AGTGTCGACTTGAAAAGATCGTAAATACCAGTTTCTCCATAAAAATAATTTTCTTTTTCTGTGAAACGGATTTACAGCGCTTTGCGATGTAAAAAAAGTCTTATTCCCCGATGTGACATTTATAGTAATTTTCTTTTTCTGAAAATTATGCGAGAGACATGATATATATTTTAGCTCTTTTGGATAAATCCAAGTCCGATTTCCGCGCTCTGAGAAATTAATGTAATGCGATATATTGTACGTTAATTAAGAATTCTGATTATGAAGACACGAATTGCGAGCGAAAGAGACGAACACAATGCGCAACGAAAAGCGGACAACGTGCGTGAAAAAATGGAAAAATGGATACCTGCACATTTGATTTGCACGTGAAACAGATGATCATAAAGAGCAAGATGGGGATAATGTTGTAATAGAAACTGGTCCAATTGTCAATCTTGAAGGCCGCCACGAAAGCTCCCACCAACATGAGGAAGATCGTGCCGGGTCCCAGGATTGTACCACCTGAATTTCGAATATTTTAAATATATAATATCAAATGAAAAAATTTTCCAACGCTTCTACATCTTAATGTTCAATGAGCACTTACCCATCAGCAGGATCTGATAAGAGATGTAAGGCAGCGAGATATTGTCGTTGATCTTGATTGTGCGTTTCGCGTCCATCAACAGATCCATGATATTCGCGATCGTGGAGGGTACCCAGCGACGCCGTTGGTTGTAGAACTCGTTGAATCCTTCCGGTGCGTGAGTATAAGCGTCGCTCGCAGCTGAATATTCCACCTAAATATGACAATACAAATGGCATTGAAATCAGTATTATAAGAAAAATGAAATGTAACAATTCGCGATAAAGAGACTGCCACTTACTCTGTACCCTCGTTGCAACAACAACGTGCACAACCAACGATCCTCGCCCTGATCGTATTGCACGTAGTGTCTCGCTTCGTCGGATTTAGTTGTGTATTTCTTCATCACGTTGTCGTCCATCAGAGCCTTGCCACGGAACAGCGAGAAGCATCCGGGACTGCAAAGTACGCAGCCGATCATGTGCTCGGTAGCCTTCTGCAGCCAGTGACCAATTGCGTATTCGAACATCTGGTACCACACCATTGGTCCTGCAAATTTTATAAAAAATGTAATAATTATAAATTAAATAAATTAAAAATTCTTTTACGGATATTTAGTTATAATTATATTTAGTAAATGATAATATAAATTCTCTACATTTTCTATCGACATAGTTATATTGGAAGAACGATTATATGTAT